TTTCTATGTCATTTTGACTCGGTGGCCTAACTTTCGCAAGTTGAGGTTTCTAGGCCACTACTTCAAAATGACCTAGAAAACATACCAGGTGAATTTGAGACCAATTCTAGGCCATCTTAACGTGGTGGCCTAGAAAACCAAAGTTAGGCCACCGAGTCAAAATGACCTAGAAACCCCTTTTTTTTGGATTATCTCGTTTTCAGCCTATTCCAGCTCATTTTCCCCAAAAAAAGGTATTTTTAGGCCGTCTTAGCGTGGTGGCCTAGAAAACCAAATTTGCCAAAAAAAAAATTAGGCCACTACTGTAAGATGAAATCTGAAAATTTATGAAAAAATTTTTTCCGTTTTTTTTCTGGAAACCTAGAAATATCGATTTTCAGACATTTTCAGCCAAATTTTGAATTTTTTTCTTAAAAAATGAATTTTCAGACTGTCCGCTACTTGACCGAAGAGGAGATCCGCGAAGCCCAGGCACGTGGAGAGATTCTGGAGTTCGAGGAGGAGGTGTTCGAAGAGGAAGTCGACGAATATCAACAATAGGAATTCTAATTTAAAAAAAAAATTTTTTTAATTTTTAATTTTTTAAAATTTTGAAAAAAAATTTTTTTTAATTTTTAAAAAATTTTTCCCCATTTTTTCTCAAATTTTCAAAATCCAATTTTACCCTCTTTCTAGCTAAAAATCTTTTGTCTTTTTACCCCCAAATTCCATTTTTTAGTGCTTTACCCATCCCGAAAATAATCTTCTCTGTCTTCTGTTCAATTTTTGGCTGAAATTTTTTTGTCTGAAATTTTACAAAAATTTCAGAAAAACTGTTTTTTTTTAAATTTTTTTCTGTCTCCTTGATCTCCTGCCTCATTATCATTTGCATTGATAAAAAATTTGTTAATCGAAGAGAATTTTCAAAAAATTTAACATTGAAAAATTCCGGAAAAAGTCTGAAATTTCAGACAAAAAATGTTCAAAAGTTCAATTTTTGACACTTCCAGAATTTTTCATAGCTTTTCATCGAATTCTGAGAATCCCAAAAAATTGCCAACTTGAAATTTTTGAAAATCCAAAAAATCAGATTATCTGAAATTCAGAAATTTGAAAATTCTAAAAAAATTTCTATAGTTTAATTTTAATTTTCTAAATTTAAAAATTTTTTCATTGAGATTCTTTTGATTCTGAGATTCGGAAATTCTGAAGTTCTGAGATTCTGAAATTCTGAAATTCTGTAATTCTGTAATTTTATAACTGAGAAATTCTGAAATTCTTGAAATTCTCTGAAAATCCAATTTTTTGAAAATTCTGGTTTGCTGAATCTCCATTTTCAGGTCATTTTTTGGAATCCACGTTCATCTGAAAATTCAAATTTCCCGCCGAAACAAAAATTTCAAAAAATTTTCATTTTCTTTAAAACAATTTTCTTATTCCCTGATTCGCATCGTTTGGTTTAAATGACACTTGAGGTGAACGATGTGTGCATATTGAAAAGTGACAATTTGCGAGACAACAGGTATCTGGAAATGTCTGAAAATGTGAAATTTTCAGAAAATTTTGAAGCTTTTTGAGCCAAAAATCATCGGAATTTGGAGGTTTCTGGGATAAAAATCGTTAAAATTGTCTGAAATCAATTTTTGGAAAATTCATTTTTTTCGGAATTTTTTCAAAATTAAAAACTTTTTTGATAGAAAAAATTGGTTTCAGATCTTTCTGAAATTTGATTTTTGGACAAAAAATTAAAAAAAATTTTTTTTTTTCAGATTTTTCAATTTTCAGACAATCCAAATTATCACAAGAATCCAAAGAAGAAGCTTATGTAAGGACACCAGTGATAGTGAGTTTTTTTTGGAAAGATTTCAAAAATTCTGAGATTCTAAGATTCTAATATTCTGAGATTCTGAGATTCTGATATTCTGAGATTCTGATATTCTGAGATTCTGATATTCTGATGTTCTGAGATTCTGAGATTCTGAGATTTTGAGATTCTGATATTCTGATATTCTGAGATTCTGATATTCTGAATTTCTGAAATTCTGAGATTCTGAGATTCTGATATTCTGAAATTCTGAGATTCTAAGATTCTAATATTCTGAGATTCTGAGATTCTGATATTCTGAGATTCTGATATTCTGAGATTCTGATATTCTGATGTTCTGAGATTCTGATGTTCTGAGATTCTGAGAATCTGAGATTCTGAGATTTTGAGATTCTGATATTCTGAATTTCTGAAATTCTGAGATTCTGAGATTCTGAGATTCTGCGATTCTGAGATTCTAAGATTCTAATATTCTGAGATTCTGAGATTCTGATATTCTGAGATTCTGATATTCTGAGATTCTGATATTCTGATGTTCTGAGATTCTGAGATTCTGAGATTTTGAGATTCTGATATTCTGATATTCTGAGATTCTGATATTCTGAATTTCTGAAATTCTGAGATTCTGAGATTCTGATATTCTGAAATTCTGAGATTCTGAGATTCTGAGATTTTGAGATTCTGATGTTCTGAGATTCTGAGAATCTGAGATTCTGAGATTTTGAGATTCTGATATTCTGAATTTCTGAAATTCTGAGATTCTGAGATTCTGAGATTCTGAAATTCAGAGATTTGAAAATTCTAATAAAATCTGAAATTCAGAGATTTGAAAATTCTAATAAAATCTGAAATTCTGAAAATCAAAATTTCAGAATTTCAAATTCAAAATTTTTTTTTAGTTTTAAATTTTTTTTCATAGAGATTTTGAAATTCTGAGAATCTGAGATTCTGATATTCTGAAATTCTGGATGACATTTTGGATTACTGAAATTCAAAAATATAAAATATAAAGTTTTTCAGCGCTACAGTATTCCTGCTGTAGATTCTCCACAACGAGAATCGTCAACATTCAGAAGTGTCTCCGCCTCGATTCTCGCTTCAATCCTCCGTGATCGTTCTCGCTGCCTTCAACTCATCATTTTCGACTGCCGCTACCCATTCGAATATTTTGGTGGACATATAAAAGTGGGTCCAATTTGTAAAGTTTGATTTTCCATTGATTTTTGTGAAAGCACCAACTTTCTAGCTTTTCTAGAAGCCGCGATATAGCGATTTGAAGTTTGTGAGCCGAGAGACGCAGACAACGAGACACTCTAACTGTCTGCGCCTCTTCTGAAACTTTGCATGGCTGTATCTCGGCTTTTAGGCAGCCTAGAAACATGAAAATTGGATCAAATTGTGGGAAATTCAAATGAAATTTTCCATAAAATATATTTTGAAAAAATATACCCAAAAATTTTCAAAATGATCCCAAAATTTTTTTTTCGCTTTTTGAATAAAATGGTTCATTTTTCTTAAAATTATTCATCGATTTCTCTATATTTCTGTCCAAAAACCAACTTTTTAGGTCATCTAGAAGCCGAGATATAGCGATTTGAAGTTTGCGAGCCGAGAGACGCAGACAACGAGACACTCTAACTGTCTGCGTCTCTTCTAAAATTTCAAATACCTGTATCTCGGTTTGTAGGTGACCTAGGAATATGAAAATTGAATCGGATTTAGCGAAATTTGAAGGAATTAAAAAAAATTAAATTTAAAAAAAAACAAAAAAAAAATTTTTTTTTCAAAATTATTCAATTCTGTTTTATTTCAAATTGAAGAACATTTTCTGAAAATTCATTGAATTTCCTTCAATTTTGTTTAAAAACCATCTTTCTAGCTTATCTAGAACCCGAGATACAGCGCATTGAAGTTTCGGAGAGACGCAGACAGTTAGAGTGTCTCGTCGTCTGCGTCTCTCACCCTTCAAAGAGACATATCTCCGCTTCTAGAAACGCTAGAAACTTGATTCTTCCACCAAATTTCTTGAAAATTCTAGGGCGCTATAAACATTTACTCGCTGGACGAGCTGGAAACATATCTATTCGACGAGCTTGGTGTGAAAAGTACAATGGTCGGACTCCTACCAATCTTCTACTGTGAATATAGTCAAGTTCGAGGACCAGCAATGTAGGTGGACATCCGGATTTGTGGAAACACAGATAGACTATTTTTCCAGGGCTCGACGTCTTCGAAAAATCGATACTCACAGGAATAATCATCGAGCGTTGGACTTTCCGGAAATCTATCTACTCGACAAGGGATATGTCAATTTTTGGACAGAGCTGGGGAACAGGGTAATTTAGAAAAATCGGAGTTTTGAAGAAATTTTTTTTTGATTCTTGAAAAATATAGATTAAGTTGATCAATGTGGAAAAAGAACCAAATTTCTAGCTCTTCTAGAAGACGAGATATATCGCTTCAAAGTTCGAGAGGCTAGAGACGCCAGGCGACGAGACGCACTGCGTCTCTATCGTTTAAATTTGCTACCAACTTGTTCGTCTTGTCATTCTACACATTTCTGTAGAAATTTCAAGTTTCTAGCTTTTCTAGGAGCAGAGATACAGTCGCTTGAAGTTTTTGAGAGACGCAGACGACGAGACACGCTGCGTCTCTAACCTCGCCAACTTGAAATAGATGTATCTCGACTCCTAGATAAGCTAGAAACTTGGTTTTTTCACCAAATCGATTGTCTTGATCTATATTTTGCAAAAATCAATAGAAATATTCAAATTTCCGAATTTCAGGACCTGTGCGACCCACGATACTATGTCTCGATGCATGCACGTCCATACAAACACGCTCTCCGTCAATACACACAACACCACAGATCGAAAAGTTCGGCGAATGGACACAAGAAGAATCAGATGAGAGTTTTTAGTGCGAATTCCTTTTGGAAGAGGATCAAGAGATACAAGAGGAGGAGACGCAGACGCCGAGAGCACGATTGGATTTTTGAAAAAAAAAAATCATGAGAACTTTTTTTGTATAATACACACTCACTCATTCTATCTATATTCTTTTGATTTTTTGAATTTCGGAGTTTAGATATTTTGAAATTTATGAATTTCTGAATTTCTGAATTCCCGAAATTCTGAATTCCCGAAATTCTGAATTTCTGAATTCCCGAAATTCTGTATTCCCGAAATTCTGAATTTCTGAATTCCCGAATTTCTGAATTTCTGAATTCCCGAAATTCTGAATTTCTGGATTTCTGAAAGTCTGAATTCCCGAATTTCTGAAATTCTGGATTTCAGAATTTCAGAATTTCTGAATTTCCGAATTTCTGAATTTCTGAAAGTCTGAATTCCCGAATTTCTGAATTTCTGAATTTCCGATTTTCTGAATTTCCGAATTTCTGAATTTCTGAATTTCCGAATTTCTGGATTTCACAATTTCTGGATTTCACACTTTCCGAAATTTCTGAATTTCACAACTTCTTAATTTCAGAATTTCGGGTTTTCGATTTTTTTGAAATTCAACATTTCTGAGAATTTTTTTCGAAATTATGTAATTTTTTGTACTTTTTTCAATATTTTTTCTCCGGCTAGAACTTCCTGTTTTTCTCCTTTTTCCGATTACTGTATCCCAGAAAAAAATCCGTTTAAAAAACACCGAATTTGACGACAAAATGCACAGCAAGTTCCAATTTATTGCAATTTCACAATTTTCAAGTTAAAAAATTAAGACAATTCGAATCAGAAATGATAATTTGATAAGAAATCAATCATAAAACGCGAGCCACTCCTCCCACAACGCCTCCGGATCCTCTTTTCCCTTCTCCTGAATCTCGGTACGTGCGTCTTGAACGACGACGTCACCGTTTGGCTTGACGATGCGCATCGCCGGAATCGTCTTCACTTCGTACTTGGCGAGAAGTTCTCTGCAAAAACCATTTTTGAATTTTTTGAAAAAAAAAGTTTGAAAAATTTTTTTTTTGAATTTTCAATTTTTTTCAGAAATTCTATTTCACATTCCAGTGTTCTGACACCAAAAATGACTGCAAATACATCGAAAATCCGTCGAAATCGCTTGAAAATCGGAATTGGTTTTGACTTTTCAAATTTCGCGCGCTTTTGTCGACGGAGTGTTCGGTGGAGCGCACTTGCGCGGCAAGCAACGTGGCTCGATTTTTCCGACGAAAAACTGAAATTTTGGCGATTTTCAAGCGAGATTAGTTTAAAATCGATGGGAAAAACGGTTTTTTATCGAAAAATGCGAATTTATAGGTCAAAAATCGCCGAGACTTCGATTTTCTATCTGAAAATCTGAAAATCGGCATTTTCGGTCGAAAAACCTCAGAAAAAGCTGATTTTATGCGGAAAAGTCGCGAAAACATCGCAGAAATATCAATTTATTAATTTTTCACAGAAATCCGGCAAAATTCGCTAGAAAACCGAAATTTTCGTGTAAAATTGCCAAAATCAGATTGTTGCTCTAAAAATCGATATTTCACTCGAAAATTGCTTCTTTCTGGTCATTTCCAGCCGATTTTCTTTAAATTTTAACCGACTTCCATTGAAAATCGCTCTGAAAAGCTGAAAAGTGAGCATTTGGAACCGGAATTTCAGAAAAATCCAATTTCCGCCCGATTTTTTTCAAATTTTCATCTCCCAAACTCACTGAATCTTCTCATTTCCGAACGGAATCGCTGCCCACGCACCCATATGCTCATTGAAGTACTCGCGAAGGTCCTCGTCCTCACGATCGCGAGAAACGAAGACGACCTCGAATTCCGGATGCTTCTTTTTGATTTCCTCGTAGAAGCGCTTGAGTTTCGGGGTGAATTGACGGCACGGTGGGCACCAGCTGGCCGAGAAGTAGAGCCCGACGACCTGCAGGCGGGAAATTTGAATTTTTTCGAGACGAAACAGCTTTTTTCCTCACCTTGCCCTTCAGATACTCGGCACCATCGACAGTCTCGCCCTCCTGATTGAACAACTGTACGCCGGCGAACAATTCGGACATTTCTGGAACTATAACATTTGAAAAAAAGGAGTTCAGCCGAATTTTCTGAAAAAAATGGGCTATTTTACAGGTTTTTACAGATTTTACAACCAATTTTTGGAACCTATTTTTTTTTCAACGAAAAATCCTATTTTCCGACCGAAGTCCCCTAATTCTAGGTATTGTTTAGGCTGAAAATCACTATTTTCATGCCAAAAACCATGAAAAAATACGAAAAATTGAGAAAATCAAGAAAAAAAACGACAAAAAAGCGAAGAAAGTTCGAATGACACCAATTGGCGCGCAAAATTCGAAGCGACGCGCTGTGCGGCAGAGCGCGATTGCACACCGCTCTTGAATTTCAATCGTTTTTCTAGTTCGTTTTTTTTGGATTTATTGGTGAAAAATTGAAGAAAAATGGGTGTCCTGACATGGAAAAAGACAGGAAAATCTATTAAAAATATTGGAAAAATCAGAAATTATAAAAAAATAAAAAATGTTTTTTGAAAATTAAGAAAAAAAATCATGAGGTGTTTTAAATCTAATTAGAGGTTAGAAATAGTAGGTAGACAGATGAGAAAGCGAAAAAAACAAAAATATGAAAATGCGCCCTACTAGACTTTTTTTTAAAAATTCAATTAAGTTTGGTATAAGTCAAGTGGGGCGCGAATGCGAGAATAGCTAACTATGAGACGGTAAAAATTGTGGACATTTGACAATAAAAAATAAAAATTATCAATAGAGCGCACTTTCTAGTTGATTGGAGCTATTTTACTAGTCCAGGTATAGAAAATCTCGTAGTTCTTGGTGCCCTCTGGTCCGGTGTACTGTAGTGCTAATTCCGAATTCAATTTTTGTCTCTTCTTTCCTGCGAGACTGCTCAATTTCCATATGGACAAAAATCCAATGAGCAAGTTGTAGGTAGGGATGGTCTGAAAACGCGCTCCATCGAGAAAAATTGAAGAAAATTGAAGAAAATGAATTCATAAGAAAATAGAAGAAATTACCTCCAATTCTGTCAAAAAATCATGTTTCTAGGCCACCTGAAAGCTGAGATACAACCGCTTGAAGTTTGGAGAGACGCAGACAGTCAGGGTGTCTCGTTGTCTGCGTCTCTCGCCTCCAAAATTTCAAAGCGCTGTATCACGGCTTCTAGAAGCTCTAGAAAGTTGGTTTTTCTTGTAAAATGCTCAGCTAGAGCTACATTTTTTGCTGGTCTAAAAATTATAAAAATCTGAAAAACTTTGGATTTTTTCAAAAAAAAAAGTTCTTCCAAAATCTCCAAAAACAAAAAACCTTCAAAAAAAAATCGCAGTTTTTGTTAAATTTTTAGCGTTCTAGCTTTTCTGAGAGCCGAGATATAGTGCTTTGAAGTTGTTGAGGTTAGAGACGCAGACGACGAGACACTCTGCGTCTCTCGCTCGAAACTTCAAATCGCTGTATCTCGGCTTCTAGAATAGCTAGAAACTTGGAAATCGAACAGAATAAAAGGAAATTTCCTCTATTTTCTGGTCCCATACCAAAAAAATCCCGCGAAGCGCCATCAAGTCGGCTGGATCGTCCACAAACCAGCTCCCACGATAACGAAGAGTAAGAGTGATGACGTAGTAGAAGGAGAAAAATGCAAGGTGAATCAGAGAAAGGAAAAACGAAAATCTGGTCGCGAAAATGTTCTCTTCCAGTTGATATCTTGTGGAAAGAGTGTGTAGGAATCTGAAAGTGCGCTCAACTGATAAAGCTTGAAAAATTGTGCTATTCTGTGAAAAAACCACTTTTCTAACTCTTCTGGAAGCCGAGATAAAGGCGTTTGAAGTTTTCACTGTCTGCGTCTCTCTTGCCGAAGCGAGAGACGCAGCGTGTCTCGTCGTCTGCGTCTCTCGCCTCCAACGCTTTGAAAGGCTCTATCTCGGCTCCCAGAACCGCTAGAAACGTGGTTTTTTTTCCATTATTCCCAGATTTCCAGGCATTTTCAGACTTACCTCTTTCTGATGCAAGTATTGATCTTTTCCATAGCCAAATTGGCCACCAAATCGATCAAATTCGCGCTCAGAAGACCCCAGCACAAATAATTCATCTGTAGATTATTCAATTTTTCTAGAAAATTCCGAAAAGATAGTTGTACCTTTGGTCCAGAAGTGCTTGGAATGAGGACGTAGGAGAATGTGGGTTCGGTGAAAGTTTCGTCGATAAACAGATAGATAACAAGAGCTCCGGTAGCAATGCACTAGAAATGGGAAATAAGAAAAGAGACTTTTAAAAAATTTTGAAGGAAAAAGTTTCTCAAAAAATTCAATTTTTTTCAAAGTCTAAAAATATAAACTTTTTTCTTCAATTCTGTCAAAAAACCAATTTTCCAGCTTTCCTTAGAGCCGAGATATAGCCATTTCAAGTTCAGGAAGTTAGAGACGCAGACAACGAGACACTCTGACTGTCTACGTCTCTCCAAACTTCAAGCGGCTGTATCTCAGCTCCTAGGAGAGCTAGAAACATGATTTTTTCTGCAATATGCTTGATTTCAGTTGCCAAATTTGGTGATGTAGAAAAATCCAGATTTTTGAGATTTTCGAGTTTTCAAAAAATTTTGATTTTTCAAAATTTTTGTGACAATGATAAGAAAGACACCATTCTTCTTTTATTCTGTTAAAAAATCAAGTTTCTAACTTTCTCAGGAGCCTAGATTTTTCAATTTGAAGTTTTTGAGACTAGAGACGCAGTGTGTCTCGTCGTCTGGCGTCTCTAGCCTCCTCAATCTTCAAATGGCCATTTCTCGGCTCCTAGGCGTCCTAGAAACTTGATTTTTGTTCTAAAAAACTCACCGAAACGAACGCAATAATTGGTCCAACCAAAAACATTGAATTCTCGTAAAACTTGGCTCTTGCAAGAGCGATCAGTCGCTCAAATATGATTCCTTGCATAAAAACCGATGGTCCCGAGATTCCGATAATTCCCAAAATCTGCATTCCTCGCAACTTCCCAGTATCCACCAGATAGTCACAATCGCTCTTAGCAATCCATGGAGTGACGATATGATGACCCTGTATTGTAGTTTGTAGTCTGGTTATGAGTAGTTTGTAGCTTCAAAACTCACAAATGCCACAGTAGAATTCACCACTGACGTCAGAATAACCCCAAAATACATTCTGTACAAGAGCAGCACATTTCTATTAAACCTCGCCTTTTTGAGTTTGAAAAAGGCGAAATAGGTCAGAATGGGGATTGCTACCAATGAGAGGAAAAACGAGAGTACTTGAGTACAGTAGTACAATGGTTTCTTGACGATTTGACGGAACTGCAAAGAATAACAAACTAGAGAAACAATGGGAAAATTGGTGAAAAAACGAGTGTTCTAGCTCAACTGGGAGCTGAGATATGACCGCTTGATGTTTAGGAGGCGAGAGACGCAGACGACAAGACACGCTGCGTCTCACGCGCGGCAAGAGAGACGCAGACAGTCAGAGCGTCTAAATTTCAAACGCCTGTATCTCGTCCCCCAGAAGAGCTAGAAATACGATTTTTTTACAAAGTTGCGTAATTTTTCAAGCTTTATCAATAGAGTGCATTTTTATAGACAAAACCATGTTCATGGATTTTTCTAGCCAGAGGCGTTCGGTTTTTTAAATATTACCCGAAAATCAAACAAATGTGCTTCAGTTCTATTTAAAAACCATATTTCTAGCTCATCTAGATGCCGAGATACAGTAGTTTTGAAGAGACGCAGACAATGAGAGGTTAAAGACGCAGCGTGTCTCGTCGTCTGGCGTCTCTAGCCTCTCAAACTTTGAAGCGATATATCTCGGAAATATACAGAAGTTTTCCTATCATTCTGTCCAGTTTACATCAGTCTAGCTCTTCTAGGAGCCGAGATACCGCGCTTTAAAGTTTGAATGTCTGCGTCTCTTCAGGGAAGTTAGAGACGCAGTGTGTCTCGTCGTCTGCGTCTCTAGCCTCCCGAAGCTTCAATGACTGTATCTCGGCTTCTAGTAGGGCTAAAAAGATGGGTTTTCGACAGAAGTGTTTAGAATTTTGAGTTTCATATTTCTGCTAAATTTCGAATTAAGAAAATTTTTACAAAAGTTTCCATAATTTTTCAAACTTTTATACTTTTTCAAACTTTTCATTTTTCTAGCTACAATTTGGTGAAAAAACCAAGTTTCTAGCAACCCTGGAAGCCGAGATACAGCGCTTTGAAGTTTTGCAGAGACGCAGACAGTCAGAGGTTAGAGACGCAGTGTGTCTCGTTATCTGCGTCTCTAGCCTCCTAAACTTCAAATGGCTATAACTCGGCTCCTAGAACAGCTATAAAGTTGAAAGTTAAACAGAATTAACGCAAATTTTCTCTTTTCTACGATAAACAAAAGTTTCCTCAGTTTTTAAGATTTTGAAAGTTTTTGAAAAAAATCCAGAAAAATTTGAGATTTTTCAAAATTTCAGAACAGAAAAAAAATAGATCTAACTGAGATTTTACAAGCCAATCCAACTGTCCAGCTCATCTGGGAGCCGAGATACAGCTGCTTGAAGAGACACAGACGGTTAGAGTGTCTCGTCGTCTGCGTCTCTAGCCTCTTGAACTTTGAAGTGCTGTATCACGGCTTTTAGAAGCTCTAGGAAGTTGGTTTTTCTTGTAAAAAAATCTGAAAGTTCTCGGCTGCTAGAAACCTAGAGAACTGAATTTAGGACTGATTGATGTTTTCACCAGATCGTATGCCACCAGATCAATTCTAGATCCTTCCCTGTAACTCTATTCCCTTGCTGGCCTAGAAACCCAAAGACTATGTAGAGAAAGTTAGGCCCCACTCACCAGTGTACAGCTGGCACCGGCCAGGAATGTTCCATTGATCGTCGAAGACACCGACATTGTTAAGGATGAGCAATCTAGCGGAGCACAAAGCTGCTCATCTTGTTTCCAGAGAGCCAATCAAAAAATTCTAGAGAAAAAATGAGTAGAATAAGCCGGTTAAATGCGGCTGGCCGATTAGAGGTGGAGCTGAAAATTTTTTCTACCGTATGCTTGCTCATCTGCTAGTTGGATATTTTCAGATTTTTAGAAAAAAAAGAAGAAGGAAAATGGAGAAATCTGGAAGCAGAGGAGCGTGTGAGAATTGGGTCATGGGTTGGTGGCTTTTGCGATTTTTTCGATGTTTTTGCGAAAAGAAAAAATCTGAAAAAAGTTGTAAGATTAAGATTTTAGGTTTCGGAATGAGTCATATAAAAATAGAAAAATCGGAACTCTGAGATTCTGAGTTTCTGAGATTCTGAGATTCTGAGATTCTGAGATTCTGAGATTCTGAGTTTCTGAGATTCTGAGTTTCTGAGTTTCTGAGATTCTGAGATTTTGAGATTCTGAGATTCTGAGATTCTGAAATTCTGAGATTCTGAGATTCTGAGATTCTGAGATTCTGAGATTCTGAGATTCTGAGATTCTGAGATTCTGAGTTTCTGAGATTCTGAGTTTTTGAAATTCTGAGATTCTGAGATTCTGAAATTCTGAGATTCTGAGATTCTGAGATTCTGAGATTCTGAGATTCTGAGATTCTGAAATTCTGAGATTCTGAGATTCTGAGATTCTGAAATTCTGAAATTTTGAGATTCTGAGATTCTGAGATTCTGAGATTCTGAGATTCTGAGTTTCCGAGGTTCTGAGATTCTGAAATTCTGAGATTCTGAAATTCTGAGATTCTGAAATTCGAAGATCCTGAGATTCTGAATTTCTGGATTTCGGATCTTCCAAAACCATCGAAAATTCTAGCAACAATGAACATGTTTTAGACTACTGTAGTCGTGTGAAAATCACATGTTTCGTGCGTAAATGGAAAACATTTGCTTTTTTTAGAATCGGATCCATGGGAAGAATCTTCACTTTCGATTTTTCAGCAAGAAATAACCAGGATTCTAACTCATCTAGAAGGTAAGATATAGCACTTTGAAGTTTGGAAAGACGCAGACAGTCATAGTGTCTCGTCGTCTGCGTCTCTCGCTTCCTAAACTTCAAAACTCTATATCTCGGCTTCTAGGTGAGCTAGGAACTTGGTTTTTGGACAGAATTGAAAAAAAATTCTTATATTTTATGATTTTCAAAAATAGAAGTTTGAAATTTTTTTGCAAATAATCCTGATGATGATGACGCTTTTTTAAAAGTACACACCTTCCGGACCGAAACCGTCAACAAAACCATCAACCTGTTTTGTGCTTACGTTTCGAAATATCAAAAGAGTTCAACTGGAAAAAAATTAATGCGGGGTTCATATGTATGAACAAAAAATGTGTGTGTTTAGCTCCACTGATTCTTGTAATTCATATGAATTTCAGCAAAAAAAAAGAATTTGGAGAACAAATGTTCAAGAAAAATGGACCAGGAAAAAAGGACATTTTCTTCTGGAAAAATAGGAATGAAACAATAAAAAATAGAGGCTTATTTTTCAAAAAAATTTCAAAAAACCAAATTTTTTTTTCCAAAATCCATGATAGTTTTTCAGGATCGTAAGTAGAAAATTTTTAACTGTTTAAAATTTTTAACTGTTTTTTATGCTTCTAGCACTTCTAAAAGCCGAGATGCAGCGCTTTGAAATTTGGGAGGTTAGAGACGCAGACAGCGAGATACGCTGCGTCTCTAACTCTAACTGTCTGTGTCTCTTCAAGCAGCTATATCTCGGCTCCTAGAAAAGCTAGAAAGATGGTTTTTCTTGTGAAATACTCACTCAGATATAAGCTTTCTATTTGTGGAAGTTTTATTTAAAAACAAAACTTGGAAAAAATGGAAAATTTCGAAAGCTTAAAAAATCGTTTTTTTTAAAATTTTTTCTGAATAGTTGTAGAATAGAAAACTTGTATTCTGATTCTGTCAGAAAATCATGTTATTAGGCTACCTGTGAGTCGAGAATAAAGCCTTCGAAGTTTTAGAAGAGACGCAGGCAGTTAGAGTGTTTCGTTGTCTGCCGTCTCTAGCCTCCAAAACTTCAAATCGCTATATCTGGGTTTATAGAAGAGCTAGAAATATCGTTCTTTTCTAGATTTCCATTATTCTGAAATTCTGATACACTGAATCTGTTTTTTTTTGCAGAATCACAAGTTTTCCAAATTTTGTGCTCATTGATCTTCTGGTCGCATTGTGCTCGTGTTGTTTACAGCTTTTTCTAAGTGTACTTTTTAAGAGAAAATGTGTGAAAATAGTGCTTTTTTGGTTTGTAACTTGAGTAGGGGTGTGAGAAATTTGTGACTAGTGTGAGAAAAAAAAGAAAAATTCAGAAATTCAGAAATTCAGAAATTCAGAAATTCAGAAATTCAGAAATTCAGAAATTCAGAAATTCAGAAATTCAGTAATTTAGAAATTCAGAAATTCAGAAATTCAGAAATTTAGAAATTCAGAAATTCAGAAATTCAGAAATTTAGAAATTCAGAAATTCAAAAATTTAGAAATTTAGAAATTTAGAAATTCAAAAATTCAGAAATTCAGAAATTCTAAAATTTAGAAATTTAGAAATTTAGAAATTCAGAAATTCAGAAATTCAGAAATTCAGAAATTCAGAAATTCAGAAATTCAGAAATTCAGAAATTCAGAAATTCAGAAATTTAGAAATTCAGAAATTTAGAAATTCAGAAATTCAGAAATTCAGAAATTTAGAAATTCAGAAATTCAGAAATTCAGAAATTCAAAAATTCAGAAATTCAGAAATTCAGAAATTTAGAAATTCAGAAAATGGAAAACCCCAAGTATCAAGTAAATTCCAAAAATCTGAAAACTTATGAAAACTTCGGAAATTCCAAAAAAATTTTCCAAAAAATTTTTAAAAATCGGAAATTCCAATTCCGAAAAACCTGAATTTTCTGGAAATCCCAAAATTCATAAAATCTAAAACTTCAAAAAATCTTAACAGAAAAATCGTAAATTAAAAAAGCAGCTAAAAGTTCCTGAGTTCCGGAAAGATCTAAAATTAATTAAGTTCCAAAATTACACTAAAAAATTCAAAAATTCTGTGAAATTTGAAATTTCGGAATTCAGAAATTCAGAAAATCGGAAATTCTGAAATTCAGAAAAAAGTTTCTAAAAGAAAATAAATAAAATTTATATATACATACATACATTCGTTTGTACCCATAAGTATCAAAAATTGCAGAGAAAGAGAGTGGAAAAGAAAAAGAAAATTAAATATAATCAAATCACAGAAATTAAATAAATATATTGAGATATTAGGACAGAAAAATGGAAATTGCAATACGTTTTTTTTGAAAAATCGAAATAAAAAAATTAGTGGCCTAGAAACTCAAGTTTCCTGGATTCTAGGCCATCAACATTCAATAGATAAGATTCATAAAAAAGAAACCGTTCAAGAAATAATTTTTAGAAAAAAAATCTGAAATTCTCAGAAAAAAGAATTTTTCAAAAAAATTTTTGATCATTAAAATTTTATGTTTTTCGTCATGAGAAGAGGTCGTCAGCAGTCACCAGGTGTGTGTATAAATAGATGATGTGCAAATGCAGATGATGTGGAAAAAAAAAATTTTTTTGAATTATTTTTTATCGGACACACACATTATAGCCGCATTGTGTTGGACAGCAAAGTGATGGGGATTTCTGAAAATTCTTTTTTTTTTGGAATTTCAGAATCTCAGAATTTCAGAATTCCAGATATTCCAAAACTTCCAACCTGAATACTGTCCATCATTATCGCATCGTTATTAAAAAATAAATTTTGGCGGGGAGCCAAATGCGGAGCACATTCCGCGTCAGAGGCGCACCAGTTGACGTGACGCCTTCTGAACGAGCAATGAGCAACTAGAGAAGAAGGGGCGGGGCATTCTGTGATGATTCTGAAAATTGGTGGCCTAAAAATTCAAAAATGTTTCAAAAATTCGAGAAAAAACGATTGAAAATGAGCCAAAATGAGTAAAAAGAAGCGGTGGTCTAGAAACCCCAAAAGCTAGGCCACCATTTTTTTCAACTCATTTCCACCTCATTTTCGCTCAATTTTTCTCAAATTTCCCACTATCTAGACCAGATTTTTGCGCCAAATTCAAATTTTCGCTTGATTTTCAAAATGTTCCCGGTCCCTTACCTTGTACTTCCACAACAGTATCCATTATTATCAATGCACAGCTGTCCGGACGAGCACTGTCCGGATTGTTGGCAATTCGTGTGATGCGGACGGCATTCGCCTGGAAAATGGAAGAGTTTTTGGGTTTTCTAGGCCATCACTTGGATTTTCGAGGCGAGCTTTTTAATGGCCATTCATAGAGTTCCTAAGCCATATTTATAGGCCATGTTAGGATTTCTAGGCCATGTTGGGTCTTCTAAGCAGCAAACAAACCTTATAGTGGCCTAGAAATTCCAAATATGACCTAGAAATCGCATAATGGCGTAGAACCCCAAGATGGCCAAAAATCCTAGATTACATAGAAAACTCATATTCGCCTGGATAACTTTTGGTGTGCCTAGAATTCCGAAATGACATATAAATCCCAAGAAAACCTAGAAAACTCCTGGTGGCCTAGAAACCCCAAAAAAAAAAAACTCACCAAATCCATTCTCATTGGTCACTGCTGGAATTATAGCGTTCGTAGCGACGTACGATTGAAATCTGGGCACTGGTCGGGCTGGTGTCCATGGGACACTTTGCGGTCGATGGTCGTGGGCTGAAATTTTGACTGGAAATTTGAATTCTAAAAATTGGAAAAATCCAAAATTCAAGAAATCAAAAACTACAGTAATCCTTTGTTTTTACCTTTATGTTTAGCAAACCGTAATCTGTATACTCCATTGCATTCGGGTCGAAATTGATCCTTATTTAAATATCTCCAATATAAACACCAATCGATGTGAGGCATTGGGGCCAAACAAAAAATTGAGTCCAGGAATATTGAAATTCTGATTAAATGGTAAACAGATCGCATTTTGGATTTTTTTTCGCTTTTTTTGATTCTGAAAAATATAAATTGACTGAAATAATGAGTTTGAAAAAAGAGTTTGCAAAAAAAAAAAATCAAATTTCATAAAAAAAATCAAATTTCAAAAATTCAAAAATTCCAAAAAATTGTTCTGGATCTTATGGAAATTTGCTAATCTTTTAGAGTTCTCAGGTTTTTTGGATTCAGGAATTTTGCGGTTTTTCAAATTTTGGGAACTAGAAGTTTGAGAATCTTCTCCGCGTCACTTTGATTCTGAGATTCTGAGATTCTGAGATTCTGAGATTCTGAGATTCCGAGATTCTGAAATTCTGAAATTCTGAGATTCTGGGATTTTGGGATTCTGAGATTCTGAGATTCTGAAATTCTGAGATACTGAGATTCTGAGATTCTGAGATTCTGAGATTCTGAAATCCTGAGATTCTGAGATTCTGAGATTCCGAGATTCTGAGATTCTGAGATTCCGAGATTCTGAAATTCTGAGATTATGAGATTCAAACACACGGTCACATAAAAATGAAATTGAAATATGGAAATTTTAAATCTTAAATTAAAGAAAAAAAATTGCAGCGTGCAAATTTCGCTGTTTCGAACTAACTGGTTTCGAAGTGTCGCGGTTTCGAAACGACCGGGTTCGAAATAAGTTTTCAAAGTGTCATGAAGTTTCGAAGTGAAGCGGAGCCCATATTTTTCAGATTTTTTCTCAGTTTTTTAGATTTTCGGAACCTCGGAATATCGAATAGTTGGGAATTTTCAGGAATTTCACAATTACAGAATTGTTTAGTTTTGTTTTTGAATTTTTTCAAATTTCTACTTTTTTGGATTTTGGAGTTTTAGAATTCAGAAATGTTAGGTTTTTTGAAATTTAGAGAATTCAAAATTCGAAATTCTTGAGATTTTCAGAATTTTATTTTTTTTTCAACATTTTTGCATTTTTCCTTTTTTTTGGAATTTTTTAAAATTTTGAAGTTTTCAATTTTTGTAAATTTTTTCGAATTTTTTAAACTAGGAAAAAACTAGAAAACCCAAAAATTGAAATGTCTTAAATTCCAAAAATTCCAAAAAATCCGAAAAACAAAAAATCCAAAAAACCTGAAAATTCAAAAATTCCTAAAAATCTGAACATTCAAAAATTCCAAAAAACCTGGGAATTCCAAAATTTCCAAAAACCTGAAAATTCAAAAATTCTTAAAAATCTGAAAATTCCAATAATCCAAAAATTTCAAAAAATCGAAAATACAAAAATTCGGAAAACTCGAAAAGTACCGGATTTTCAAAATATTCCAAATTCTTCGAACTTTTCAGCAATTATTTTCGAAATTTCAATTATTTCCAACTAACTCTGGATTTCTCGAAAGACCTAAATTTGGAATCTTGTAAATTCTAGGCCACTCGTTATGCTTTTCTAGGCCATCAAAGACAAAAAAAAATAAGAAAACGGATTTTCACACTCTCTATTCCTCTATTTATTTGCATTAATCGTCAAAAAGAGGAAAAAGAGAGAAAAAGAGAGAAATATCCCTATTATTCCGATCGGCCGAAAAAAAAGCCAATGAAACATAGAAAGATATCATATTCATTTTGTCTAGTCTACCCGGAAATATTTTATATACCATCGAAAATTGGCTCCGCCCACTTTTTCTAAATGTTCCAGAACATGTGTATAACAAGACGATGATGATAGCCTTAAGAGAAAATGAAAGAAGAATAGGCTCCGCCCACTTTCATGGTACCTGGAGAACAGAATGAAAGAAAAAACCACGTGGAATTAGGAGAAAAAAAAATACCGGAAGGATTACAGAGGGCCAGGCGGCTGGCCGCCCGGAAGGTAAAAACGGGTGGAATTAAGAATTTGGGAAAACAAAACAAACATTTTGGCAAACTGTCAAAATGAAGAAAAGACGTCATTAGGCTTAGAATTTTCAAAGTTTCAATTTTTTAGGACAAAAAAAAGGGTTTTTGAAATAATCGAAATTATAGGGAAAATCTTTTCGAAAATTAAAAAAAAGAAGATTTTAAAAATCGAAAATTCAAATATACAAAAAAAAAAATTTTTTTGGAGATTTCAGATTTTTGGAATTTGAAGTTCTCTCAAAGAGTTCGGAATTTTTAGATTTTTGGATTTTCAAAAATATTTGGACTTTTGGAATTTTCGGATATTTCAGATTTTTCGATTTATTGAGTTTTTAGAATTTTCACATTTTCAGTTTTTTGGAATTTTTGGAATTCCAGATGGATGTTTAGAATTTGTAAAATTTTGAAATTTTTGATTTTGTCGATATTTCAACAAATTTGAAAATTTCAGATTTTTCAATAATTTCAGAAATTTCAAAAATCCCAATAAACTTGGAGTTTTTAGGTTTTTCGAGAAAAAAATTGTTTCCCAGAAACTAAAGTTTTCAAAAAATCGACAATTGTCAATGGAATTTTCAGATTTTCAGAAAAACTGAACATTAAAAAAAAACTGAATTTTCAAGCTAAATCCCAAGACCGGAATTTTCAGATTTTTAGAAAAATTGAAAAAAAAATTTGAAAAAAAAGAAAAATGTATTTCTAAAAATAGGATTTTCGGTTTTTTGGAATTTTTGGACTTGGGAGTTTTAAGGAAGAAAAAATTTGCGAATGTCAAAAATGTCAAAAATTTTACTTAAAATTTTCAGGTTTTTCAAAAAATAAATCAAAGTCCTAACAAAAGAAAAAGTGCTCCTAAAAGTGCTCAAAAAAGAACAACTCAAGAAAAACGCACCATTGCTCAGGCCGAAAGAAACTAATCAGGTGTGAAACCCCTCTCCAACAAACAATGCCCCATTCCCTTTTTTCGCTTCTTATTTGTTCTCTTATTTTTCCCCCTCGTTTCCTATGGCAGAATACCGCGTGGAGATGAGCTCATGATCTCACACTTGAGCCGCCCGTCGTCCGTTTTTCGTCCGCCGACTGGCCGCCCAGGAAGTGCTTGATCAAACAAGAAAAAGAAGAAGAAGAGAAAAAAGAAATTGATATGTGGTGTTCTTTTTTTTATCAAATAGAGAGAAAAGAAAAAGTTAAAGTGGATATGTCTTCTTTGTTGGAAAAGTATACGTCATGTGGGAATCGGTATTTCCTTGAAGCCTGTCAACTTTGAGCTCAATTATTTCGATTTCTGTGAAAGATATCTCAATTTTGTCAACTAATAAATTATTCACCATATTAGCGTCAATATTTTATCACTTGACCAATTTTCGGTATCTTAGACAGGAATGGAGATAATTGGGCTCAAAGTGTGTAAACTGTTTGAATGGGCTGCTGCTAGAGGAAATACGGTAAACCGAAAGTTGTTTCTGTTTGTCCGGATTCTCAAAATTTTTGAAAGTTCTCAATTTAGAAGTTTTCTAGAAAAGCCCAAATTGCAATAATCGGTTTTCTAGGATTCGAAATTTTGGAATCGAAAAATCTGAAATTCTCCAAAAACCAACTTCCTAGGCCTTCTAGAAGCCGAGATACAGCAATTTTAAGTTTTGAAAGCTAGAGACGCAGACAACGAGACACGCTAACTGTCTGCGTCTCTTCTAAAACTTCAAATGGCTATATCTCGGCTTCTAGAAAGCCTAGAAAATTGGTTTTTCTACAGAAATGTTGAAAATTTCATGAAGTTTCAGAAAACCTTTTAAATAAGAAAGTTGAAATAATTGGGATTTTTCGAAATTTCAAAAATGTGTTTTTTAGATTTCTAAAGCTATTGTCATACGTTTGAACCCACAAGTTTTTCTAGAAACTTCTTGAGAATTGAGACAAGACTTCGCGGTAAGTTCAGAAAGTCGAAAACTAGGAAAAGTTGGTTTCGGGACAAAAATACAAAAATTTCCTTTGAAATTTTGAAAATCCTAAAATCGAGATTTTTTTTCTGTACAAAAACCAATTTTCTAGGCCTTCCAGAAGCCGAGATATAGCCATTTGAAGTTTTAGAAGAGACGCAGACAGTTAGCGTGTCTCGTTGTCTGCGTCTCAAGCTTTCAAAACTCCAAATTACCATATCTCCGCTTCTAGAAAGTCTAGGAAGTTGGTTTTTGGACAGAAATGTTTAGAATTTCGAGCTTCATATTCTTAAGTTTTGAAAAATACGAAAATCATTGAAAATCAGAATTTCCAAAAAAAAATCGAGAAACTTCAGAATTTCAGATTTTTCGATTCCAAAATTTCGAATCCTAGAAAACCGATTATTGCAATTTGGGCTTTTCTAGAAAACTTCTAAATTGAGAACTTTCAAAAATTGTGAGAATCCGGACAAACAGAAACAACTTTCGGTTTACCGTATTTCCTCTAGCAGCAGCCCATTCAAACAGTTTACACACTTTGAGCCTAATTATCTCCATTCCTGTCAAAGATATCAGAAAGTGGCCAACTGATAAAATGTTGGTGATAATATGATGAGCATTGTATTAGTTGATCACTTTTCGATATCATTCACAGGAAATGAGTAATGTAACTGAAAGAACTCCCAGAAACACTAACTGCTAAAACACACTATTGCAAACAACGAGATGCAGAGAGAGTGAGAGACACAGACAAACGCTATGCACTCACAGAACCTCTATGCACTCAAAGAGACCTTTGTAACCTGAAAAACTAGAAGACACTGAAACACAGTATTCCTATAAAACACTATTCATTGAATCAACAATAAATCACTATAAAACCTTTAAAACCAGTGAGCACTCGGGTTCAAGCGAAGGGGTCANAAAGCGCGCCCCAGTAAATTTTTCAGAAATTCTCAATTCGCTGCCGAACTTCGTTGGCTGAGTATCACAATTTTAAACGATGAGCGAGAATACGCGCGTTGCAACCCGTTGATTTTTAAGAAATAGATCATGATCTAGTTCAAACCCGCGTTCGTTTTAAAATTATTAAATTTCTTCTGGCCTACGAGTTTGCTGGGGCGCGCTTTCTGACCCCCCCTTCCGCCTGAACCCAAGTGAGTGAGCCACACTTTAACGGGTCGTCACCAATCGTGAGCGAACACCAGCGAAAACTAAAGAAAACGATGAGAATTTGCCGAGAGAGGAGGCGCGTTTTGGCACGCACACAGTTTCGCGCACGGATACAGTAATCCACACCTCTTGCACGTGTGTTCGGGGGAGATTTCTCTCCTTTAGACTTGGAAAGAGGATTTTAAAAGAGAAAACACGGTTGAATACCGTACAAATGTGTTACATCGGGTCAAAGTATCGTAAAAGCGAGATCAAAATTTTGGAATTTCAAAAATTCCCATTTTTGAAGCCAAAAAAAATGAACAGTTTCCGCGTTTGGGTAGTATGGCGCAATACCTAGACAGGGGGGGGGGGGGGTCTGTTCAAATAAACCATAAAAACTAGAACTTTGAAGCTAACTCAAAATCCCAAAAGTTCTACTGACCATATGACAATGAGCACAAAAGCGCCCCTCCCCCCACTGGTCAGTTGGTCATGGAAAACCTGCGAAAATTGAAAAGAAAAGAGTTTTGGCGGTTAGTTTTGTTTGGAGTAGCTGAGGAGGTAGGAGGAATTGAGCAAATAAAAGAGAGCATGCTCAAATAATATGTACCTAGGTGAGAAAATTCGAAGAAGAGGAAGAAGAAGAATGGTAATGTGAGAACAAGGGAGACTTCTTGTATTTCCTTTCGATTGGAACTAGAAAAATAGGGGAAAAAGTTCCAAGGGAATTCTGAATTATGAAGTTTTAGAAATTTTTAGAAAAATTCTCTGTAATCCTGAATTACAGTAATCCAGAAAATTTGGAAATTCAAGATGAATGGAAGCTACAGTAAAACTGAAATCTAAAAATCTCAAATTGTCAATTCAAAAAAAAACTATTGTCAATTCAAAAAGATCGCACCGGTGAACATACAAACAAACAAGTAAACAAGGGGGCGGAGCGATCCGCCCCTTTTCGCAAAGGCGCCGCGCAGTTTTTCGACGGTATTTTAGTGTCGCCGTTTTTTGGTTAATTTTCACCGAATTTCTTCCGAATTGAAGGAAATTCGTCGATTTTGTGAAGGAATATATAACTTTGTTCTAAGAAAAACTGAGAAACACTATTGGGAAAAACTATTCTTTGATTCAGGGTGAAAATGAAAAGAGCAAGACGATGTGACGTATCGAAGCCCACGATGATGGAAAGAAGAGGTAGAAAAGCTTCGGAATCACTTAAATACATGAAATATCATTGCAAATTTTTCTGAAAAAACAGAAAAACTCGATCGGAGAAGTATTTGGAGTAATTTGTCGACTAACAGCAGATTATTTCACTTCTTCATAGTTGTGATACCAGAAGGCGATTTTTCAAAATTAGATAATAGATGGCATAGAAAAAAATCGACGAATTTCCTTCAATTCGGAAGAAATTTGGTGAAAAATAACCAAAAAAACGGCGACATTAAAATACCGTCGAAAAACTGCGCGGCGCCTTTGCGAAAAGGGGCGGATCGCTCCGCCCCCTTGTTTACTTGTTTGTTTGTGTGTTCACCGGTGCGATCTTTTTGAATTGACAATAGGCTTTTTACCAAGTTTTTGAAAATTCGAAAAAAATGTTGTTTCTGAAATTTCCAAAAATTAAAAATTCCGAAATCCCAAAATCTTAAAAGTTCCTAAAAAATTATTTTTCAATTTTTTAATTTTTGATAATCTAAAATTGACTAAAAAATGAAAATTTTCAATGTTTAAAAAATATTTGTTAACTTCAATTTTTCAGATTTTTGGAATTTTGCAAAAAAAAAAGTCATAATAACGAAATTTTGGGAAAAAAGTGATATCAAAATTTAGCACAAAATTGCTGAAAATTAAAAAAAATTTTTTTTGAAAAATTTGTAAAAAATAATTCTTGTTTTAATTTTAAAATTGTAATGTTAGAAATCTATGAAAATCACTTTCGAAATTTGTCGCTTTTCAGACATTTTTGCAAAAACTTCAAAATTTCTGCATTTTATCGTCAAATTCGGTGTTTGCAGATTTTTCAGGATACAGTAATCCGAAAAGTGAAATAAGAGTGCGCAATGGTTTTAATGTTTTGAAAAAAACAAAAAAAGCAAAAAAAACGGGAAAATTGAAGTTTTTCAAAATTTCAAAAAAAAAACATTTTTTAATTTTAAAATTATAAAAAATGTTAGAAATCTATAAAAACCACATTTCCAGCCGAATCTTGTCGATTTTCAGCTATTTTTCCAGCTGAAAACTCAAATTTTCTGCACTTTGTCGTCAAATTCGGTGTTTGCAGATTTTTCCGGGTTACAGTAATCCGAAAAGCGTGAAAAAGGGTAGATATATGTTTCGGGAGTCGAGAAGTTCACAAATCTAGCAGAAAACCTGAAAAAAAGAGAAAAATCTAGAAATTCCAAATTTTCAGAAAAAATTTAAAATTTCGAAAAAAAAATTTTTTGAAAATGTTGAAAAAATATTTTTCAATTTCTCACTTTTTTGAATAAAACTTTTGAAAAACTACCTAAACCGCGTTTCTATCAAAAATTGTCATTTTTTCCACTGAAAACACAAATTTTTGCATTTTGTCGTAAAATTCGGCGTTTGCAGATTTTTCCGGGTTACAGTAATTTTTTTGAAAAATTGAAAAAAAAATTTCCAAGAAGAATGTTGAAAATTAATCAAAACCTTATTCCAGACGAAGCTGATCGGTTTTCAGCCATTTTTTCAGCTGAAACTTCGAATTTTCTGCATTCTGTCGTAAGATTCGGTGTTTGCAGACTTTTAAGAAAAGTTTTTCTCAATATTCAAAGTTTATCAAATTTTCAAAGTTGAAAATCGATAAAAATCACTTTCCAACGATTTTTTTTGCTGAAAATACAAATTTTCTGCATTCTGTCGTCAAATGCGATGTTTGAACACTTCCCTTCTAACCTAAAATCATCCTCAACGTGGTTTGTCAACTCTGAAAAAACCAAAATTCGCCACAAAGAATTCAAACATTTAGTTTTTCAAATTTCGCGCCCAAACACACACACACACACACACACTCAACTCTGGAAATTTGAAGAAGATGAGCAAAGAGAAAGTTCCAGAAGAAGACTTGAATCTACCGTATTTCCATGGAGCGCTTATGAATCAAGACGCTGATCAGCTGCTGGTCAATGATGGCGATTTTATGGTGACGATGAAGTTGCAAATCGATATTAACAAATTAGTGGGTTGGGCGGGAAATTTGAATTTTTGAAAAATTTGAAATTCTGAGATTCTGAGATTCTGAGATTCTGAGATTCTGAGATTCTGAGATTCTGATATTCTGAGATTCTGAGACTCTGAGATTCTGAATTTCTGAGATTCTGAGATTCTGAGATTCTGAGATTCTGAGATTCTGATATTCTGAGATTCTGAGACTCTGAGATTCTGAAATTCTGAGATTCTGAGATTCTGAGATTCTGAGATTCTGAGATTCTGAGATTCTGAGATTCTGAGACTCTGAGATTCTGAAATTCTGAGATTCTGAGATTCTGAGATTCTGATATTCTGATATTCTGAGATTCTGAGATTCTGAGATTCTGAGAATCTGAGATTCTGAGATTCTGGGATTCTGAAATTCTGAGATTCTGAGATTCTGAGATTCTGAGATTCTGAGATTCTGAGATTCTGGGATTCTGAGATTCTGAGATTCTGAGATTCTGAGATTCTGAGATTCTGAGATTTTGAGATTCTGAGATTCTGAGATTCTGAGATTCTGAGATTTTGAGATTCTGAGATTCTGAGATTCTGAGATTCTGAGATTCTGAGATTCTGAGATTCTGAGATTCTGAGATTCTGAGATTTTGAGATTCTGAGATTCTGAGATTCTGAGATTCTGAGATTCTGAGATTCTGAGATTCTGAGATTCTGAGATTCTGATATTCTGAGATTCTGAGACTCTGATATTCTGAGATTCTGAGACTCTGAGATTCTGAAATTCTGAGATTCTGAGATTCTGAGATTCTGAGATTCTGAGATTCTGATATTCTGAGATTCTGAGACTCTGAGATTCTGAAATTCTGAGATTCTGAGATTCTGAGATTCTGAGATTCTGAGATTCTGAGATTCTGAGATTCTGAGATTCTGAGACTCTGAGATTCTGAAATTCTGAGATTCTGAGATTCTGGGATTCTGAGATTCTGAAATTCTGAGATTCTGAGATTCTGATATTCTGAGATTCTGAGATTCTGAGATTCTGAGATTCTGAAATTCTGAGATTCTGAGATTCTGAGATTCTGAGATTCTGAGATTCTGGGATTCTGAAATTCTGAGATTCTGAGATTCTGAGATTCTGAGATTCTGAGATTCTGAGATTCTGGGATTCTGAGATTCTGAGATTCTGAGATTCTGAGATTCTGAGATTCTGAGATTTTGAGATTCTGAGATTCTGAGATTCTGAGATTCTGAGATTCTGAGATTCTGAGATTCTGAGATTCTGAGATTCTGAGATTCTGGGATTCTGAGATTCTGGGATTTTGAGATTCTGAAATTTTGAGATTCTGAGATTTTGAGATTCTGAGATTCTGAGATTCTGAGATTCTGAGATTCTGAGATTCTGAGATTCTGAGATTTTGAGATTCTGAGATTCTGAGATTCTGAGATTCTGAGATTCTGAGATTCTGAGATTCTGGGATTTTGAGATTCTGAAATTTTGAGATTCTGAGATTTTGAGATTCTGAGATTCTGAGATTCTGAGATTCTGAGATTCCGAGATTTTCAGATTCTGAAATTTTGAGATTCTGAGATTCTGAGATTCTGAGATTCTGAGATTCTGAGATTCTGAGATTCTGAGATTCTGAGATTCTGAGATTCTGAGATTCTGAGATTCTGAGATTCTGAGATTCTGAGATTCTGAGATTCTGAGATTCTGAGTTTCCGAGGTTCTGAGATTCTGAAATTCTGAGATTCTGAGTTTCCGAGGTTCTGAGATTCTGAAATTCTGAGATTCTGAGATTCTGAGATTCTGAGATTCTGAGATTCTGAGATTCTGAGATTCGGGAGATGAGGTGGAATTTCTGAAGTTCAGAAAGTCGGAAATTAAAATTATTTCTAAAATTCTGAAAATTCCAGCAATTCTACTTGGCAGTTCGTCTCAAAAAAGGCATCCGTCGCTACGAGATCAAACGCCTCCCTGGCTCGGCGAAATTGGGCTCACGGAGCAAAGAAACAATCGATAAATTGATCAACTCCCTCAAAACCGATGTTTTGGAGATAAAAGGGGAGAAGATAGTGTTGAAGCGAGCAATAGCCAAAGGCAAATTTCAATTGATGCACAAAGATGTCATTTTTAAGAAAAAAGTGAGGAAGGGGAAGTTGTAAAAAAGAAAAAAAAAGAATATGGCATCAAGGGGAGTCGAACTAAAAAACCTTCAGCTCGCAGACGCCGCATCCCCAGCTTGCGCCACGCGCGCACCTTCTTACTAACCACCGAATGGCGGATATAAACGTCTTGCAGATTGGCGCGGGCGCCTACGGGACAGTGTACCGAGGGCGATTAGTGAAAACCAATGAAGTGATAGCTGTGAAAAAGTTGGATCCAGAATCAGCAGATGAGGATGGTTTGGCTGAAATGATGAAGGAAGCAAGGGTCATGCAGTTGTACGATCATCCGAACATTGTCAAATTCCACGGATTCATTTTGGACGATTTGCCATATTTGTTGGTGCTGGAGTTTTGCAATGGTGGCTCGGTGGAGGATCGATTGAGGGACAAAGGATCGGTGGGGGCTTATAGATAAGGAAGGGAAATTCGAAAATTCGAAAATTTCCAGCGACTTACCGTACCCACTCGTGTCCACTACACCTACATGGCAGCGTGCGGAATGGATTACCTGCACAAAAAAGGATGCATCCATCGAGACATTGCCTCGCGAAACTGCCTAATCCATCGAGGAATCGTCAAAATGGCCGATTTCGGAATGTGCCGCGCGACTACAGTATACAAAATGGACATGAGCAAACCGTGCAACGTCCGTTGGTTGGCTCCAGAGGTTTGGGATAACGGAGAGACGCGATTCAATACTGATGTCTACGCGTTTGGAATCATGATGTGGGAATTCTTCGAAATTCCATATGCTACGCCGTACGCGGAGATGAAAGCTGGTCAGGTTAAGGTAGTCTTTTCTGGTGTATCTTTTTTTCAGACTTTTCTAGAAGCTCGAAACTTGCTGAAGTGGTAGCCAAAAGTGTGTTAGGTATCCATACAAAATTTCAAGAAATTCGGTCCAGTGGGAACCAAGATATGGGTCTTGCAAGTTTGACCTACGCGTCGCGGCTGCGTCGCGGTTAGCTAACTTTACTAGAAATGGAACTAGCGAGCTGAAATTTGGAGGAATACTAGAATACAACTTTGTTAGGTTATCTGCCAAATTTCAAGTAAATCGGTCCGGTGGGAACCAAGGCATGGGTCTTGAAAGTTTTGACCGCGGCTGCATCGCGGTTAGCTAACTTCGCTAGAAATGGAGCTAGCGAGCTGGAATTAGGAGGGAATCTAAATTAAACTTTGCTAGGTCACCTGCAAAGTTTTAAGTTGAGTGGACCGCAACGCAACCGCAACGCATGTGTCAAAATGCAAACTACCGTAATCTGATTTTAATTGAATCTAGTGCATTGAAAATTAGTCAGCTTAAAGCGCTTAACACTTCCAACCATTTCACCAAATTTCAAGCAAAGCGGTTCAGTTGGAGCCGATATATGACTCTTAAAAGTTTGACCTATGCGTCGCGGCTGCGTTGCGGTTAGCTAACTTTGCTAGAAATGGAGCTAGCGAGCTGAAATTCGGAGAGCTGGCAGAATGCAACTTTGTTAGGTTACCCGCCAAGTTTCGAGTTGATTGAACCGCAACGCAACCGTAACGCGGCCCAACGCAATAGATCAAAACTTCAAAACGGTGTTTCTCGGCTTGAGTGGGTCGATTTGCTTGAAATTTGGGCAATACACCAATTAGTGAAGTTTTATTCATATTATCTGAAATCTAAAACATGTTTCAGCGCAAAACTCGAACTGGGTACCGTCTACCACCGCCAGCCGCAATGCCTAAAGAAGTGGGAGATATCATGAAGGAATGTTGTCAACCAGCTGCTGATAAACGTCCGAATGCGGAGAAGTTGAAAGAAATGCTCGAAGAGGTTTATAAGAAGCAGAATCCGACGGAAACGACGCATAACTCGAGTTTGGCGGCTCCGGTGAGTACTGAGCCAACGGCGAAATCGAATATCGCCTCGAAAATCGATAATGGAGCATTGAAGAAGAAGGCTGAGAAGGAGAAGAAGAAGTCGAGAGATTCGAAAGGATGAACTAGAGCTCTTTTTGGAAAAAATAAAAAAATATATTTTGGTGTTTCTTTTTAATTTCTAAGATTTTCGAAAATTTCAGATTTTTCGAATTTTACTGATTTTCTGAAATTTTGGATTTATAGAAATTTCGAAATTCCCGAACTTCAAATGTTCAGAATTCCAAGATTTTTCGAATTTTCTGAAATATTGGAATTTTTCATTTTTTTTTCATTTTCAGATTTTTTCGGTTTTTTGAAATTCTCGGAATTAATCTTTTCGAATTTCCGACCTTTTTTGAATTTTCGCAATTTTGGATTTTTGGAATTTTTAGCTTCGAACTTCCAGAATTTCTTAACTTTTTTGGAATTTTAAAATTTTCGGAATTTAGATATTTTCGAAAATTCGAAATTTCAGATTTTTTGGAACTTTTGGAATTTTGAGAATTCTTTTTTAATTGTCTAATTTTTTCGATATCCCCAAAATCGCAATTTTTGAAATTTCAGCCTTTTTATTTATTTTCTAAAAAATATAAGTTTTCAAAAATTTCATTCCAAAAAAAAATATATATAAATCACATTTATGTCACAATTTTTTCAAAATGCTCAGCATCATTAGAAAATCAATAATTTTCAAGTAATTAATTAATTAATTAGGGGGTAATTAAAAACAAAAATATTATGAAATGTCATATAATCTCATACCGGTGGTACCGGTAAACAAAAAAACTAGAGAGGGTTGGGCGGGAATTTAAAATTAAAAAAAATTTAAATTTAAAATTTGATCTACTCCCAAGGTCGGAAAACCTTGGCTCTTTTGGACGGTGGTGGCATCAGGGCTCCAGAAGATTGTCTAGAAGACGTGACGACTCCAGAATTATTCTCATTCGGCGTCGTTGGTTCGATAGAAGACGTCGATGTGTCTGACGATGGTGGTGGCGAATCCAAGGAGTATGACGGCGACGTTCTAGAAGTTTCTGGAGTTCCGAGCTTCGGCGGAATCCCCAAAAACGGCGGAAACGCAAGGAATGGGTTAATCGGCGGGAATGAAGGAAATGGAAGACGTGGAAATCCAAGAATCGGTGGTTTTGGAGCCAAAGAGAATTCCAAGAACTTCTCCAAATCTGCACACCGAACAATCAAATGTCGATCGCTCTTAAAAAACTGAAAAGCCACGTGTCTTGCGGTTTTTTGTCCCTCTGCGATCGCATGTGTGTATAGTGACTGATCCTGCCCGTTTCGGCTCACAAAATTGTTCTTCTTGTTTCTGATATAATTGATGATGATGTCCAGTGTGTTCAGTCGCTGCATTTTTTCACTGAAACATATTTTTATTAGTTTCTAATTGTGTACGCTCCATACGTTCCAAAATTCAAGCACATCGGCCCACTGGGAGCCGAGATACATCGCTTTAAAGTTTTGAGCTACGCGTCGCGGCTGCGTCGCGGTTAGCTAACTTTGATCTGAGTGGCGCTATTGCCATGAAACTTGGCAGTTAACCTAACAAAGTTGTATTCTAGTATTCCTCCAAATTTCAGCCCGCTAGATCAATTCTGAGCAAAGTTAGCCAACCGCGACACTGCCGCGACACGTAGGTCAAAACTTGGAATTGCCATATCTCGGCTCCCAATTGACCGATTTGCTTGAAATTCGGTTGATCAATGAAGAGTATTGTGCTAGAAAATTTTCAGTGCACTGGATCTGATTGAAATCAGGATACGGTCGTTTGAAATGTACATCATGCATTGCGGCTGCGTTGCGGTCACAGTATTCTAATCAATTTAAAATCTGGTAGGGAACCTAACACACATTAGTTCTAGATTTCCTTCAATTTTCAACCCCCTAGTTTCATTTTTAGCAAAGTTAGAAAACCGCGACGCAGCCGCGACGCGTAGGTCAAAACTTGCAAGAGCTATATCTCGGCTCCCAATGGACCGATTTGCTTGAAATTTTGTGTGGATACCTAACACCCTATTGGCTATCCTAGCATTACGCTTCTAGAACAAAAAGTAAAACGTACACTTGATGAGAGCTCATAAGCTTATTATCAATGATAAAGTTCTTCAACGCATCAAACGCCTCTCCCTGACGATCTCTTCTGTCTTGCTCTCGATTCTTTTTCACCTCCTTCCGATCGATACACATTCCCGATTCAGACGTCGATGGACTGGAAACTTGAGAATCTGAAGACGTCGTTGGCAGATGACGTTCTTCGGATTTTCTCTTTCGATTTCCGACGGTTGACATTAGGAGTCCAGAACGTTCTCGATCGAAACGATGTCTTGCTTTTTGAATGAAATCTTGGCAGACTTCGGAATTCATTCCAAGGGATTTGATGAAAGTGTAGGTGAGATTTTCGATGGTGGCGAATCCGTCGAAGAATCCCTTTCGATTTGGATTTGTGGATGGACCAGGGGATTCGGTCTCCATTCGATTCACTAGCTCGACGGCACGGTTTAGCACTTCGGATTGGCTGAAAATTGGAATTTTTGGATTTCTGAGTATGTTTTGGATTTTAACAAAAGAGATTGGGCTTTAGGAATTTCACGGATTTTCGGAATTACGGGGTTTTTTTGGAGTTTTAGGAAATTTACGATTTCAAAAAATTTTTACGATTTTTTGGAATTCCGGATTTTTCGAACTTTAAAGGTGGGGGGGGGGACATGAAAAAAATAATGTTCTCGAAATTCCGTTCAAAGATGCCCCTCGAGGATTGAACTTGTGAGGGATGATTGAGGGTGCGGCGCCGCTACCGACTGAGCCACGCGGGCAAAGAGAAAGCACACGCCCGATTGCATACAAAAAGGCGAGGACGACAGCTGTACGCAGAGTGACATTAAGCGTTGTACACCGTGACGGTAGAATGCATACTCTAGCTACAAAAAAATACGAAAAATCTCCTGTCCCCCCACCTTTAAGAATTTCAGAAATTTTAGGAATTTCAGGAATTTGAAGTATTTTCGGATTTTTGGAATTTTGGGTTTTTTGGACCTCTAGAATTTCAGGAATTCTAGGACATTCTGTAATTCTGGAATTCAGTAAACTAAAAATCGCAACTTCTGAAACTCATGAATTCTGAAATTTTTGAAATTTTTGAAAAATTTGGAATTTTCGAAAATTCCAGACATTCCTAATTTCAAAATTTCGAGTTCGGATTTTTTGATTTCTGGATGTTTCGGATTTTCGATTTTTTGGAATTTTTGAACTTTTTCAGGATTTTAGAAATATTGAGAATTTTAAAAATTTATGGAATATCAGGATTTTAGGAATTTTAGGAATTCTAGGAATTTTAGGAATTTGAAGACTCTTTTTTCCATTCAGGAATTCAGAAACTCTGAAATTCTGAATTTGGAAATTTCGAGATTCTGAAGTTCTGAAAGTTGTAGGATCACAAAATTTCTGAAATTCAGAAAATTAAAAAAAAAAAGTAGAAACCTTTAAAATTTTCAAAATTTTCAAAAAACCTGATTTTTTGAATTTCCGGAAAATCTCAAAACTTCAAAAACCTAAAAATTTCAAATTCTCGAAAATCCAGAAAATCGAAAAGTCCAAAAATTCACAAAAATTCAAAAACTTCAAATTTTGAGGATTTTTGAAAATCCACAAATACTGAAATTCAAAAATTCGGTATTCCAGAATTGGAAAATTACAGAATTGCTAAATTGAAATTCTGAAATTCAGAATTTTTGGAATTCCGGATCCCAAACCCCATAAGATTCCCAAAATCCATTTACAACTCTAGGTGGCCTAGAAAAATCCTAGGCCATCTGACTTTGTATTTCTATGCCATCAAACTCACGTCAGTTTTTCTTGATCCGTATGCGATTGAATCAGCTCTTGGAGCTCTTTGATTTTTGCATTAATCTCATCTCGCCGCTTTTTCTCCTGGGTCGTCTTTCGATTGAACATTGACGGTGGAGGTGGAGAATTCAGAAGGACCATTTTTCTGAAATTTTATTGGTTTTTTAACTGATTTATTGATTTTCAGAGAAATCGGGTCAAAATCGAGATTTTTCGAAGAAAATGTTAATTTTCAGAGAATCGGAACATTCCGAAATATCGATTTTCGGGGGTTAGTTGGAAAATGAATCAGATGAAGAAGAAGAAAACGGAAAAATGTTGCGAAAAATCTGGGGGAAAAAAGTCATAAACCATTCGGAGGGGAGGGGACGGGCTACAGTATCCCCCAAGATACACACGCCCAAAAAAAGAGATTTTTATCTGGAGAATGAGAATTTGAGAGGGACAGAGCGAGATAGAATTTTTATTGGATTTTGGTTTTGGAATTGGTTTTTAACTACTGAAAAAATTTTGTTTTTTGGTTTAAAGGTACCATACACACCCAAATTTGAGCGCAATTATCTCGGTTCCTATACACGATATCAAAATTTTGTCAACTGATAAATTATTTTTAATTTTATGAGAAGTATTTTATTAGTTGACAATATTTTGATATCTTTTACAGAAAACGAGATAATTGAGCTCAAAGTTGATGACTAGGGTGGGCTTCGGTTAGAGGAAATACTGTAAGTCTGTTTGTCTGTTTGTCAAAATCCTCCAATTTACTGAGATTTTTTTGGGATTTGCTTTTTTTTAGAGAATTGGAATTTCTTAAAAATTCGGGTTTCCGAAATTTTTGAAAATTGTTCAGAAGTTTTCGAAACTTTAGGTTTTCGGAAATTCTCTTACTTCAAAAATTGAGGATTTCCTGGAAATATTGGGATTTCAAATTTCTTGGATTTTTGGGTTTTTAGAGTTTTTGGATGTTAAGACTCTTAGGATTCACAGGATTCCTTAACTCTTGGATTCTTGGATTTCTAAATTTCTAGATTTTCAAGTTTCCTGGGTTCTTGGCTTTCTGGAATCCTCGATTTCTACATTTCCGGATTCCTGGATCTTATGATTTTTAGATTACTGGATTTCTAGAATACTGGATACCTGGATACCTTGATTCTTAGATTTCTAGATTCTTAAGATTCATAGTTTCCTAAATCCCTGAATTTCTGAAATCCTGGATTCCTAGATTCCTAGATTCCTAGGTTCCTGGTTTCCTAGATATTCATAAATTCCTAAATTCTTAGATTCTTCAGATTCTCAGAATTCTTCGAATTCTTAGGATCTTTCAAATTCCTAGATTTTCTCACCTTCCCATCACCATTCTTTTGACCCCCCCCCCCCCCTCTCCTTTCCAAAATTCCCGCCAAATATTTGCTCTCTTTTTCTCTTTTCATGTTCTTCCGGTTCATCTTCTCACCTTATCCCCCACGTCCCCCCTCAAGACCCATTAAGAAGAAAGAGAGGATTACTGTTTAACCTGACACATTTTCTTCATAAAAGGTGTTCCGCCTAGTACCTCCCGTGGGAACATTCGGACCTTTCTCGAGCTCTCAAGGGGGGGGGTCTCAAGACAATCACTTATCAAATGGTTCCCATACTGATAGCACACGGGGCTCGTGTATGTGATAAGGATGGGAACCAGCGATTGTTGACTCTTTTTAGTGGGAAAGGGGACATCGGGACAGACAGAGTCACAGGTTGGTCAAGGCTTTTGGGATAGGTGTTTGGTCACCGGTTCGCTTCAAATAGTTTGCTAACTTGGAGTCCCTATATCTCGCTTCTCGTAAGAGATATCAAAAACTGGTCAACTGATAAAATGATAAACTAATTATAACAAGCATTTTATCAGTTACCAACTTTTTGATAAATTTGACAAGAACCGAGATATATGAATTCAAAGTTGAATGAACTATATATCAAGGGATAGGGCTCTCAAAAGGCTGACGGAGGTACGGTAATCCTATTGGAAGGGCTTACTTTTTCTGAAGGGGGTTTCTAGGTCACCAATATTTTTTAGATTTTACAAATTATGAAACTTCAGAGTTTGAGTGACTACCGTACTCGAGCGATCGCTTAGCTTAACTGCCAGATTTGTAAACGGCGGCTTGTCAGCGGCTCAATCAGCCTATCAACTTTGAGCTCCTATATCTCATTTCCTGTAAGAGATATAAAAAAGTTGTAAACTGATAAAATGTTAAGCTTATTATCACAAACATTTTGTTAATTAAATACTTTTTGATATCTCTAACAAAAAACGAGATATGCAGACTCAAAGTTAAGTACGAAAATTGTAACTAATAGCGAGGTCAAAGGAAGGGGGGGGGGGGGGGGGGGGGAATCCATGAACTCCGGAAATTCAAAAAAAAAATAGGAACTCAAAAATTTAGTATTCTAAAGTTCCATAATCCTTAAAAACTACGAAAAAAGTGCTCACCATCGTTGGCCTAGAAATCCCCCAACAAAAAAGTCAGGCCACCAAACAGGATTACTGTACCTGTCCAGTTTTTGAGTTAAAAAAACTCTTTTTCAGGAAAAGGTATCTTGAAGGATTACGGTGGCTTTGAAAAAAGAAAAGTAGGAATAGAAGAATAATGGAGAAGCAGCGGGATTACGGTAGAAATGGGTAAAAAAGACTACGGTAGAAAAAAAGGCCTACAAAGCCTAAAACAGACCTTCCGGCCTGAAAAGAACAAGACTGGAAAATTAAAAAAACAAACAAAAACGATTGTAGAATGACAAATTGCATGTCGTGCACCATCTCTATCTCTGTACCCCCGGACAAAAGGGGGCGGAGTCTCGTGGGGCGAGGCCACGCCCACCCAGAGGTAAAGGGTGGATATGGGATGGGTGTGGGAACCGGAAGGTAATTGAGAGAGATGGGATAGGTGTGAATCTGGGAAAATGGAAAATAGTAATTGTTGGGAAAATTTGGAATTTTTGGAAAGAAAGAAATTTCAAAAATTAAAAAAAAAAGTTGTTTTTTTAATTTTGATGTAGGTATTTTTAAGATTCTAAAATTCCTAGATTTTTGAGATTTAGGGTTTTGAAAATTCACTTTTTTCGGAATTCTCTAATTTTCAGAATTTTCAAAAAAAATTGTTATCTAACATTTTCCCTCTACCGTACTCCCTTTTTCTCACATTGCCCCAAAAGTGTGAAAAGTGGGAATACCATAATACGAATATTCCCACAACATATGTATACTGATATCGTCCTTCCGGGATTCACACTCTAGTGAAAATACCGGAAAGTGACCGTTTTTTTTTTTGAAAACCCCCCGATGAGAAGAAAAATTGATGAAAAGTGTGGGAAAGTTTGGTTAATTGAAGTTGATTACTAATTAAGACTAATTATCCATTTCCAAGCTCGTCAAAAAAAACTGCCACGTCGCAATTCGGGGTCAAGTTGTCGGACAGGTGTTTTGGTTGTCTTGGGGGAATCTGGAGATTCGTGGCCTAGAAATTTTATATGTTAGAGTTTTGGGTATCAAAACTAATTTCATTTTGAACGAAATTTAAGGCTGGTTCCAAATCTATAACTGGATCCTTTAAAAAATGATTATATCTGAAGTTCTGAGCGTTTTTCTAGGCACATTGATTAGATTTCTCTGACTTGGAGAACCTTCAATTTTGAGCCGATTTATCTCGGTTTTTGTGAAAGATATCAAGAAGTGATAAATTGATAAAATATTGCTGATATTATGATAAACATTTTGTCAGTTGATGACTTTTTTATATCTTTTACAGGAAATGAGGTATAAGGGTTCAGAGTTAGTGGTACCCCCCCCCCCCCCTCAGGGTAGGGGGAAGGGGGGTATGTCGGCTTCTAAGCGGTCTACCTTTTTTTTAGAGGAATTTTACCAAAAAATTGCCAAATAGAAAAATGAAGCCAGACTTCTAAATTTGCCGCTCAATACCTCTTCCCCCAAAAACAACAACCATGTCGGCATTCTCTCTATGTTCAGAACCCCTCCACTTATGTTACGGTTTAGTTAAGTGGCTGAGAAATTGAGCATGGGAATCTTAGCTAGTTCCGGAACGATAAGTATATAATAGTAGTTTTGCTTGTATCTTTTTTTACTATCAAGATCTTCTACTTTTTCTTGTGGTTGTCGGCAAGAAGAGGGTGTGGACGAGTAAATAATTATTGTTTCCGATCGCTTATCTCTAATTGGTGTGAATCTTGGTGGCCAGGGAAGAATCGAAATGGGAGGGCTCTGGGAAAGTTTTGTACGGTACAAAGGTTTTGGTTTCTGGGAAAAAAAAGATAATTGTTAGAAACATTGGAAATGAGATTTTGCTAGTGTTATCAGCTAACCATTTTTGAATAGCTTTAATGATAAATAAGATATCGTCATCTCTCTGTTAGAGGGTTCCCAAGCGGGAGCTTCTATATCTCATTTCCTATAAAAGATATCAAAAAGTGGTCAACTAATAAAGTGTTTATCATAAAGTCAGAAATCTTTTATCAATTCCCTATTTTTTATATCATTTACAGGAACTGAGATAAATTGGCGTGAAGTTAACTGGCCCTCATATTACATTGTTACGGTATATGGAATCAAATAAAAGGGTCTAGGAAAAAGGTCATAACTTTGGTCAGAATTATTTTTGAACATTTTTAAAAAAAGATTTAGAATCAGCATGGTATTTCCTTTGAAATTATATAGTTTTCATATATTGGGCCTCGCGAATTTGTATCTTTTAAGTGGTTTGAATAGCCATGACTAGCTTGGCGAAGTCAAGTTCAGCAAAGCAAAGTCAAAAAGCGGGGCGAATGAGGATAGTCAACTTTGAACCCAAATATATCGTTAACTAATGAATTATTTCTGATAATTAGTTAAAAATTTTATCAATTTGTCATTTTTTGATATCATTCTTAGGAACCGAGATAAATTGACTCAAATTTAGAGAGATCAAAGTAACAGGAATCAAAACATACGGTCTAGGAAAAAGGTCATAACTCGGGTTAGAATAACTTTCAGACAGTTTCAATTACAGATTTAGAATAAGCATAACATTTTCTTATAAATGGTATAATTTTCAATTTTTGGATTTTAGTGTAAACTTTTTAAAAATTGATTTTAAAATACTCGACTCTAATTT